TCCACACTGCGTATGTAAGACAAGCTCACCCACCCACACACACACCCACCCACCCACCCACGGAAGGACGAGGCGGAAACAGTATGCCCCTTCGGCTTCGCCGCGGGGCATAAAAATAATAGTAAATTCTTACAATAACAATAGGTGTTGGGCTCAGGCCCAACACCTAATAATCTACGAAGAAGTCAGCGAAGCAGGTGCCAACCGGAAAGATACCGAAATTAGCACCAGGCATTAATTGACTGAACACTTTGCAGCAATGGACTCAACCATGAACCAGTACTCGAAGCATGCGCGTACGCATGCCGCAAATACGCAAAACGCAGATTTTTTCAAAGTTATGTGCGCGTTGGATGTGCGTCTTGAAAACCGTTAGACTGGACGTGACGAACAAGACGCGCTGCGTCACCCTTCACATTGCAACGGCAACGAGACAACACGTATAATTTCTTCTTCTAAGTTAAAGATGTTTCGAAAACCAACCAATTACAACAAGAGAGGAGGGTGGTGGAGGCCAAGGCCGGGCTACATGCCAAAAAGATGTAAGGGCAGGGATGAAAGGGAAGTGAGACAAGAGAAAGACAGGGTCGAGCGGAAAACAAAGGCAGAAAGAGACAGTGGCGAGCAGAAAGCAAGAGAAGAAAGAAGAAGTCGTCGTAGTCGTTCTGAGCTCGAGGAGCTTTTGGTGTCAATGGAGACACCAAGGCCACCGTCGTCAACCTACGAGCCCCTCAGCCCCACCCCCTCTATGAGGAAATGGATGGTGGATGATTTTGAGCAGGCGACTGCCGAAATATTGAATGGAATCAAGGAAGAAGAGAGGACGTCAAAGGTCACACCAGTACCAGCGGAGGCACCGTCAACTGAAGTGCCGACATCTCCCATCTCCAATCCTTCAAACCCAGATCCTCGGTATTTTCGTGCAGCGAGACGGGAAGAACCCAAGTCCACGGCTGGAGGGGAAGTGGCATGGATGAGGCAGCAGGCGTTGACCACAAGAACAATAAAGTCTCGGCATGACCAGCTGCACGAAATCGACTTCGGAGTCACAGTGAGACAAGTGACAGAGACAGCCATTTTTCCGGATGGCTGGAGATACGAGGTAAAGTACACTGAATACAACCTGCCTTCACATACCAATAGAGGCCCACACATGTGGACAACGTCATCCGGTAGTCTGTAAAGCTCCCTATAACTCAGGAGAGTTATACTTCTTAGGTGAGGGGGGGTGTTATTAGTTTAACACCAGTGAGGGGTTAAGCTCCCTCTACTGACCCAGCCAGGTGTAGCAGGGGGGTGTACCTGCATCGCCGAACCCTTTGGATTTTATCGACTGAGGAGTAATCTGAAGTCAGCCACCACACCTTGTCCCTTGGGGTGTAAAATACAATGCCGGGTCTACCAGTCTAATAATGCAGCTGCGCAGATCGACATGTCGTCACCATCATCATGAAGCTAGCCTCAACTATTTCAGTCAATCGAGTTATTCTGCACAAGATCATCAAGTGTTCATCGATGGGGCTATCTAGCCCGGCTATCCAGCGCACCAGGGTCAGCCACCCTCAGCTTTAGAGTTCATCAATGGGGCTATCTAGCCCGGCTATCCAGCGCACCAGGGTCAGCCACCCTCAGCTTTAGAGTTCATCGATGGGGCTATCTAGTAATTTCGCCCCCGTTACAATATATTGCTTGCTAGTATAACCTAAATTATAGGAACGGGGCCCGCAACCACACAATGGCCATACAACATAGGCCTACAACACGGCCCGATTGATAAAACAGAAATGTTTTCATAAGTTCGCTCCTCATATTCATGGCAGATTTGATTGATTTGATAAGAACTTTTATTGGGTTTGATGACAGTGAAAACGATGGTGAAGGCAGACGGAGAATTTTCATTCAGCACAAACGAGAAGAGGAAGCAATGGTTTGCACTGTCTCTGAAATCACCGTTACAAATAACAAAGTCATTGTCCTTATCCCACACTTAGTCTCGGTTCTCGACACTCCTTGTGTTTTTATTCAACGAGTGCACAATCAACCCACCCCAAAACCATTATCACGAACCATCGCCGATAGAGGGCGCTATCACACACAGACCGCTATCAGCCTCGAACTGGTATCACACACAAACCGCTATCAAAGGAGCATCTCGGGAAACTCGTGCGATATCACGTGACAAAAAGGCAGTGACCTCAACATGCATATTCAAGAAAGGTTACAATGGAAATACGCAAGCGCAAAAGCACAATTATAATACTGCATAATGAGCATATCAGCCTGGTACAGTTCGTCTGCATTCATATCGCATGTGTACATACACATGCACTGTGTGTTGCCAAAATGCGCTCAGCCATGCGTTTTGGTTGTGTACGTATGTAGACGTATGCTACTGGTTGAAAGTTTTGATGAATGGCGCGGCGGTAAGCATTCGTCGAGCTCAGTACGTGTTGCATTGATGTTGACAGACTGAAGAATGGCCAATCTACGATGCATTTGTTGTATACACTCCTCATGCATATCAGAGAAGTTGTTTTTACGGGGCTAAGGCTGCTGGTGAATACTTGCAAGTGTGTATTAGCAAACCCTATTGTTATTAACATGAGTCATCCACTGAGCCAGTTTAGGAATTAAAATGGAGATTGCTATAGTATAATCCTTGTGTCCACACACAAAAATTCCTAGAGTAATAACTGGCATGTGTAGGTTTTTTTTTTTTGAGGGGGGGGGGGGAAGGGGGGTTGAAAATAGCGGGTTCTTCTTGGTTAAGGTACTTAATGTAGAGTATCTCTTACAGGTGATTAACTCTCGGTTACAAATTACACAACAGTGAAATTTTCTTGGCCGTATGCAACTGCCAGCAGAGCCTATGGCTCTGCTGTACGCTCCGCCATTATCATACTTTATTTGTGATCGACAACGTATGTGTACCGTACGTACCACGCGTCGACGTCGGCGACCAAATGTACATTGTCGATCCATTACAAAACAAGCCAATAAACAGTTACTGCGTGTTCTGCAAAACAGTCGTTCAGGTACTAGACATAATATCACGTGTTCTCCATGCTGGCATTTTTTATGCAAATGACCACATAACAGGGCGTCAAGTTTTGCACACGGCACTTTTTGCCCGGAAAATCGCGGGCAGTTTTACGAGTTTCCCGAGACGCTCCTGTGATAGCGGTTCGTGTGTGATAGCGGTTCATGGCTGATAGCGGTCTGTGTGTGGTAGTGCCCTCTAACAGCGATGGTTCGTGAAACCGGTGGTTTTTGGGTAGGTTGATTCTGCACTCGTTGAATAAAACACAAGGAGCGTCGAGAACCGAGACTATCCCACACTATCAGCATTGTGTCGCACAGGCGCGGTTCTAGCGCCTATATTTTAGGGGGCTAGCAGGGGTGGATCAAGAAATGTATGCAGGGAGGAGTGCTGAAATGTAGACAAGTTTTTTCTCCGACACTTAGGCCTCCAAAATTCAATAGGTGGGTGGGGGGGGGGGGGAGTGGTGTGGTGGGGGGGGGGGGGGGGGGAGTGGGGGGGGGAGTGGTGGGGGGGGGGGGAGTGGTTGGGGGGGGCTTGTACCATATTTTCAATGTGGAGCGCTAACAACCTCCTACAATCATGCACACTACATGTATTTTACCTAATAGTGTACAAATGCCCCCTTCTCATGCTTTTTTTTTGGGGGGGGGGGACCATTCGCATGTAACGTCACCTTCTAACATTTGTTACTGCCTTTTTTTATGAATTTAATTATTTGTTCATTGATTTTTTTGGGGGGGGGCTTAATGAATTTTAAAAAAATGTCATTGATTTTTTTGGGGGGGGCTAGACAGGGAGCCCCCCCCATTCCCCCCCCCCCCTAGAACCACGCCTGGCGTCGCGTCAGACAGTGCAGACTATTTTAGCACCCAAAAATTATCCATTTAGGTCAAAGGTTATTGTGCACAATGCCTGCAATCAGACATTATGCCAGTCACTCACGACGAATGAACGCAAGTCCGAGTGGGAACACACGATAGACTTACACAAAGGAATGTTGCGGTAAGTTTCCGCGCTGCTGTGGAAAAAAAGGCCAAATAAAATTGTCATGTTTATATTGTGCTTTCCATCCTATCAAAAATGTCAAAGCGCTTTAAAATTATTCCCCCATTTCATCAGGCCTCGAGCCCACGTGGCAGCTGATATCAGCGCTCATTTGGTCCTCGGCCCATTCATACTCCTGGGAGGAGAGAGGCAAAAATAAATAAGTGTGATCTTGCCCAAGGGCACAAACGCCATGTACCATCGTACATGAGTCACACACCGTAAGCACTGAACAGTGGCATCCTACTTTTAACTATTAGTTACACTATATTCATAAATACCTAAGACAGTTTACCCATTCCTACTGGTCATGAGCCTGTCATATGGCCAGTCTTAAACGGATGATAAAGACCAGCTAAAAGAAAATGGTCACATGAAAATGGTACTCCAATAAAATTCAATGCCTTTTACTGTTTTATTGGTTGAACATTCACAATCCTCAAGTATAGGCATGCGCAAAACTACCAGTGAGCCAGTATTTCATAGTCAACGCACCGCCACAGCTGCATTCTGCGCGACATCGCGCAGTATGCTCGACGCGCACGCCAATCTCCATAAAATAAGTTGTTTCTGACTTACTCACGAGCTAAACACTCCATTATAAGCTAGAGGTGTGTTTCAAAAAACATGAAGTAAAATTGTTGAACAAAATCGTTGGTAATTTAAGAATTTTGACTTGTTTTGACTTTTGGATGGAAAAGTTTAGATTTTTTTACCAAAAAGGTATTTATAAATGGGAATACATACGTGCTTGGTCATTATCAAACACTAAGACCGATTGGAGTCTGGATGCTGATAATTACCCTCGCCTTCAGCTCAGATAATTATCAGCATCCAGACTCAATCATTCTTAAACAGAGTGTTTTAAACCTTGCAAGCACACATTTATTCCCTTATTAAAAGGCAAACTCACGATATAGACACGGCACCCTTGCACCTCATGTTGCTACAAGAATAATGAGGAATGAAGTCCACGTTGAATGAAGGAAGGCTCGCCATGAAATGTCGACACCTTAATGGGACGTTGTAGGTCAGACCATCAAAGGTCCTCACTGAATCGCCGTGGAAAACATGACAGTGGCCTGGAGGGTAGAAATACCGGGAATTTGTTAAAATAGAAGATCCCGTTAATCAAAAAGTGGCCTTGAGAAAGCATTTCGTTTCTGCTACAATTAACCTTTAACAAAATTACGTTTGACTGTTGACTCCAATAAGGAACTCACTGTTTCTGAGATTTCTCCAGCATTGTTTTGTAGCTTTGGCAGGTGTCTTTGTTATTTTTCTTTTCTGTATGGTGCCATATAAAGTGCTTATCAAGTTCTGTGGCCGATTCCCGGTTGTTGTTTTTGTGATTTTGAAAAAAAAATGGGGGGGGGGCTGAATTAAAAAGGTTACTGCTTATTGGTTTATAGCTGAAATATTGTGCTATTCAACTACAGCTGAAAAATTGTACTGACCCTAACTACATTTCACAGTGTGGACATGCTATCGCTTGGACATGCTATAGGCTGTCCTGAATATACCAAATATTTGAATATTCCATTATCTGTTTGCCAGTTTGAAAATTTGAAAAGGGAACACTATGCACCTGCGCACTTGACAGTGGTGTCATTTAAATCGTAAAGTTGCGTTTTTATTATATGTCGATGGTAACTTTCTTGTAGACACCTATTTATTGCTCCCATTCTTTTTTGCTGGGTAAAGTCCCTGGACAGTCATACAGTACTTACTCATATCAATTTGTTTTAAGAAAATTGTAAACCTAACAAGACTGTTAAAATCCCCGCAGTGTTGTGTACGCATCCATCACAGGGCTGTGTGCTTCAACCTTGTGATGAACATCTTGCTTCACAGAACAAACTATGTTTGACCACAGGGGTGTATATGGTTCCTTCTGTGTGCGGTATAAGCTCTTAAGTAGTGGACACATGTACACGCATATCTCAAATTGTGGTCCATTCGTGGTTCATTTGAAGATTTGTAAGTAACAGCTCCAATTGCACAACTATACTTCAACAAAACTATAGGCTATATCGCTCATCATTCACTCTAATCCTCGTGTACACTCTGAAAGAAGCAAATGGCCCTCACCGACCATACTGGTCCCTCATGATCACAATGTAGGCCTCTACATGTATAATCTCCCCATAGGCAATAATGGTCTATCTTGTCCCACACGCACAATGGATACCATAGTATGTACCAAGGGTTGAAGTGGGCCCTAATAACAACACTCAATGATTGAGTGTTCGGGCACAACTCGACCACTGATTGGAGTTGTTACAATAAATCTTCTTTCTTTCTTTCTTTGAGTGGTCGGGCACAACCTGACCACTCTTTGGATCTGTTGTGATTAATCTTTCTTTCTTTCTTTTTTTCCGGACAATACTTCTCCGCGGGTTTTCTTTTAAACGGTATATGGTAAAAGCTTGTAACTTAGAATATATATCGACCCTCATCCGAAGTGGTGCATATTACTCTGACGTCATGATTACGTCATCAGGTGTCAATTTACAAGCGATTTTCGTTGAAAAAATGACAATATTATTTCACCTATAACTCTAGAACCAAACATTCAATGATGTATTCTGTAATCAGATAGACCATGAATTGCTGAACAGTTTTTGTCGTGTATGTGAACTCGCTGGACCTTTACTTCCGGGTCTACGGGAAGGTCAAAAATAGGTGAATTCAAAATGAAGACATTAGCCTGACATCAAAACAAAGCAACATTTCTTCCGAACCGTTTACGGTATGATCACAAAACCTTGTGTGAACTTGTTACGAAGATGTTACAAATTTTGTTCAGGAATCAAGACGTCATCAGGTATCAAATTACAAGCGATTTAAGGGCAAATTTTGACAAAATAGTTTGTGTTATATCTTTTGTACTAAATAAAGAATCGTGTTCGTTTTTTCGTGAGGTTGTAGACTATGCCGTGAGGAACATTTCTTGTCCCAAGACACAAAACCGCTTGACCTTTACTTCCGGTGTTACCGGAAGTGCAATGAAAACTGAATATAACTCAAAAGCGGAAGCATTTTACTACAGACATGTATTATGCAAGTGTTTAGTAAGAAATGCAAGTCCCAAAAAAACAGTGTGATGACGTCATCATCCAAAAGGGCGCCCCCTAGTGGCACATAAAATGGTGTTTGTTTTCTTTAATCTGAAGACCATCGGTTCTAATTTTACCAAATCGCTCCTGGATATTCTTTGATTAACCACACGACTTGGCAAGGTTTCAAATTCATGACGTCATCAGACCAGAAGTTACGTCTATGAGAATTTGTAAACGATCATATTTTAAATTGAATTCTATCATTTGATCCATGTCGTATCTCTTCGTAGCCCAAATAACGATATCCATTCGGCACAACCCGACCACTCTTTGGATTTGTTGCGATTAATCTTTCTTTCTTTCTTTCTTTCTTTCTTTTTTTTCCGTACAGCACGTTTCCGCGGGTTTTCTCCTAAACGGTATATGATATGAACTTGTAACTATTAGCATATATTGACCCTCATTCCGAGTAGTGCATATTACACTGACGTCATGATGACGTCATCGGGTGTCAAATTACAAGCGATTTTCGTTGAAAAATGACGATCTTCTTTCATCTATAACTCTTCAACAAAATGATCAATTATGCTCCAACCTTGTAATGAGATAGACCATGAATTGATCAACATTTTTTGTCGTGTACGTAAACTCGCTTGAACTTTACTTCCGGGTCTACCGGAAAGTCAAATTTAGGTGAATTCAAAATGAAGACATTAGCCTGAAATCGAAACAAAGCACAATTTCTTCCGAACGGTTTACCGTTTAGATCATAAAACCTATTGTGAACTTGAATCATGTTACGAAGATGTTATAAGTGTTGTTACGTCATCATGACGTCATCAGGTATCGAATTACAAGCAATTTGATTGCACGATTTGACAAAATAATTTTACCTATATCTCTTGAACTAAATAGAGTATCGTGTTCGTTTTTTCGTGAGGTTGTAGACGGTACCTAGAGCAACATTTCTTAATTCCAGGCACAAAACTGCTCGAGCTTTACTTCCGGTGTTACCGGAAGTGCAATAAAAACTAAATCTTACTCTAAAACGGAAGCATTTTACTACAGACAGATATATTATGGAAGTGTTAAGTGAGGAATGCCAATCACAAAAACGTAATTTTGACGTCATCCCACTAAAAGGCGCCCTCTAGTGGCACATCGAAAACCGTTTAATCTTTTAAAATGTTACAGCCCTTGATCAAATTTTTATGATAATTGCCCCTATATATCCCCTTATGCAACCACAAATGAATTTGCAAGGTTTCATAATCATGACATCATCAGACCGGAAGTTACTGTAGGGAGAATTCAACAATGATCATTTTATTTTGAATTTAAATCCATCATTTGATCCCTGTCTCATGACTTTGTTCCCCCCCCCCCCCGAAAAAAAAATGACATCTGTTACACTTAATATTGACCTTTTGCTTCCAAATACTGTGACTTCATCAAACTGGAAGTTATCTGTTAGTATTACATGCACTAAATTTCCATATTTCCATGCGTTATTTTACTAAATAATAAACAAGTGTCCTCCCTTCCCTGTTTGACTGATGACGCCATCAAACCGGAAATAACTTGTACGTGTACCTAACTGTTTACTGAAATGTATCATACCTTAAAAGATGCAATCTTTTTGTACAAAATAATTGGTACTGGAAATGTTGAAGTTCTCGGTCCTTTTTTTCTGACATAAACATATTCATAACTTAATTGGACAATCTCTAATAAAATGGTTGTCTACCCGACCACTCTGCGTTTGTAACAACAAACGCGAACCTCTAGTTTTAACTTTACAATGAAAAATTATCCTCTCCGAACTTTATCAGTACTCACTAACCTTTTTTGACTGATAACGTCATCAAGCCAGAAATAACTTTTTGTGCACATAGAATGTTTACTGAAATTTATCACACCGTTAAAGATACCTTTTTGAAACATTGATTGTACTTGAAGGGATTTAATTTCGTGATCCTTTTTTCTACATAAACATATATTCCTAACTTAACTGGGCAGTGAATAATGAAAAGGCTGTCCGCCCGACCACTCTGCGTTTGTAACTCAACAAACGCGAAACTCTAGTCTTTTTTTTTTTTTTCGTACGGCATGTTTCCGAGGGTTTTCTCCTAAACGGTTTATGATAGGAACTTGAAACTTTCAATATATATCGACCCTCATCCTAAGTGGTGCATATTACTCTGACGTCATTATGACGTCATCGGGTGTCAAATTACAAGCGATTTTGGTTAAAAAAACTGACAATCTTCTTTCACCTATAACTCTTGAAGAAAGTAATCAATTATGTTCCCACCTTGTAATCAGATAGACCATTAAGTGATAAACTTTTTTGTCGTGTACGTAAACTCGCTTGACCTTTACTTCCGGGTCTACCGGAAGGTCAAAATTAGGTGAATTTAAAATGAAGACGTTAGCCTGAAATCAAAACGAAGCACAATTTCTTCCGAACGGTTAACGGTATGATCACAAAACCTTGTGTGAACTTATACATGTTTCGAAGATGTTGTAAATTTTGTTTCGTCATCATGACGTCATCAAATATAAAATTACAACGATTTAAGGGCAAATTTTGACAACACAGTTTGCGTTATACCTTTTGAACTAAATGGAATATCGTGTTCATTTTTTCGTGAGACTGTAGACTATGCCGTGAAAAACATTTCGTGTTCCCAGACACAAAACCGCTTGACCTTTACTTCCGGTATTACTGGAAGTGCAAGAAAAACTGAATATAACTCAAAAGCGGAAGCATTTTACTACAGACATATATATTATGAAAGTGTTTAGTGAGGAATGCTTGACACACAAACAGTGTGATGACGTCATCATCCGAAAGGGCGCCCCTTAATGGCACATAGCATAGTGTTTGCTTTCTTTAATTTTAAAACCTTAAGTTCAAATTTTACCAAATCGCCCCTTGATATTCTTTGATTAACCACAGATAACATGGGAAGGTTTCAATTTCATGACGTCATCAGACCGGAAGTTACTTCTATGAAAATTTACTTCTATGATCATATTTTAAATTCAGTTTGATCATTTGATCCATGTCGTATATCTTAGCCCAAATAATGATACGTTACAATGATCTCATTTTGCTTCCAAATACTGTGACGCCATCAAACCAGAAGTTCGGTGTTATGAATATATACACTTATATTTTCCAAATTTTCATACGTAATTTAACTTCACATTGAACATCTATTTCGAACTAAATCAGTATTCAATTCCTGTTTTTGAATAATGACGTTATCAAGCCAGAAATAACTTGTATGTGCACTAAGGAATGTTCACTGAAATTTAACACACCTTTAAAGATGCATTTTTTAAACAAAATAATTGATTGTCCTTTAAAGGAATTAATTTCCAGATCCTTTGCTCTTACCCAAAAATATTCATGACTTAACTGGACAGTGTTTCATAAAATAATTTTCTACCCGACCACTCTGCGTTTGTAATAACAAATGTGAATCTCTAGTTCTTTCTTTCTTTCTTTTTTTTTTCCGGACAATAAGTTTCTGTGGGTTTTCTCCTAAACGGTATACATGTATGGTAGGAACTTGTAACTTTCAACATACATGTATATCAACCCTCATCCCTACTGGTGCATATTACTCTGACGTCATGATGACGTCATTGGGTGTCAAATTACAAGCGATTTTAGAGGAGAAAGTGGCCAAATACTTTCAGATATAACTCTTAAACAAAATGATCAACTATGATCCAGCTTTGCAATCAGATAGACCATTAGTTGATAAACAGTTTTTGTTGTGTCATGAACTTGCTTCACCTTTACTTCCGGGTCTACCGGAAGGTCAAAGTTACGTGAATTAAAAATGAAGACTTTAGCCTAAAATCAAAACAAAGCAAAATTTCTTCCGAACGGTTTACGCTTTGATCATCAAACCTAGTGTGAACTTGTAACATGTTACTAAGATGTTGTAATCTTTGTAACGTCATCATGACGTCACCAGGTATCAAATTACAAGCGAATTAAGGGCACATTTTGACTAGATAGTTTGCGCTATATCTTTTGAATTAAATAGAGAATTGTGTTCGTTTTTTCGTAAGGTTGTAGACTGTGCCCAGAAAAACATTTCTTTTCCCCAGACACAGAACCGCTTGACCTTCACTTCCGGTGTTACCGGAAATGCAACAAAATGCGAATATAACTCAAAGGCGGAAGCATTTTCCTACACCCAAATAAGCTATGAAAGTGTTAAGTGAGGAATAGAGGACACAAAAATATGTGATACCCTGTGGGATTTACATTTCAATAACATCTGGTACACTGACTTGCTCAGAATGCTTGGCACATTTTAACTTTGAATTCTTCAGACCAAAGACACTGTTGCTAATCACATGATTGGGGGCAAGCTCTTGCATAGTTATGCTCAGCAGACGCTCAGCATCAATACATCGCTCACAATGGGTGAGAATGGCACAAAGACACCAGACCATGCCAGAACAGGGTGTTGCTAGCATAAGGCTTGCCCCGAATCACGTGATGTAGTAACAGTCTCTTTGGTCAGGAGAATGCAAAGTTAAAATGTGCAAAGCATTGGATTAAGTCAGTGTTCCAGATTTTATTCAAATTTAACTCGCAAATGGCTTATTGTACTGGAAGGGATTTAATTTGGTGATCCTTGTTCTACATAAACATATATTCCTAACTTAACTGGGCATGGCAGTGTATAAAGAAAAGGTCGTCCGCCCGACCACTCTGCGTTTGTAACTCAACACACGCGAACCTCTAGTTGGATCTTAATTTTGACGGATCTAAGAATTGGCCAATCAATTGTACCATCAGTGAAAAGGGTATTTCATCAGCTTTCCATCAGTGTGTGAACTTTTCTAAAAGAACGTATAGTTTGTGAGTTACAGCGTTGAACACAAGGCGCGAACGCCCCCAAGAGGGGGAAATTCTTCCTGCGGAATCCTTCCACACACACAATAAAAATTGGAGTATTGATATTTTTGACGGTGTTTTGATAGGACTGCTTTGTGGCTCAGACAATGCAGTCTGTACATTTCATTTGAGGTCAGAAACATCCCGAGTGAACCTAGTAAATTCATTGAATGGTTCTCAAGAACAGCATGATATGTCTCCCAAAATAATGGCATGATTTTTCACCTTTTTCTACATTTTTTCCACCTGGTTTATCATGTTTTCAGCCACAGTCACTCAGTTTACACAGCAAATCGATATATTTGCAATTGCAAAACACTCAACCGTTCCTAATAACCATTGCCACATGCACTACCGCTTTGTACACTATTTTCCACTGCTGAGGAAGGCTGCTGCAGCTGACGTGTGTAAAACTTGATTGGCAAGTTTGAATATTGGAATATTGGTCAAGTGCAGTTTTGAATAATCGAATACTAAATTATTAAGAAATGAACAGCCCCATCATGCTATAACTGGCATGCATAAAGAGTTTGCCAATATGGCTGCGTCTGGAAGTGCCTAGCTACAGCTGGCAGTTAGGCATGCTCATATAAAAGAAGCCAAATAAGTCCGCGGAAGTTAGCATGCTCATTGCTATACACACTGCATGTTTTTATTTTAGCCTCCATGAGGTGGTGAAATGCTCTATTAGCAGAAAACTGCTTGCTTATGATGCCATGAAATTGGAACCAAGTACACTTCCCAAATATGTTGTGAATAATGATCTCACTGATATTTACCATATTTGGCTAAGGAGCAAAGGCATTTCGAGTTTGCATTGATGCATGGGCTGCATGCGCATTCCTTCACTACGCAAACGCCTGGCAGTGCAGAATACGTAATCGGCGCATCGACGCTGATTGAGAGCGTACTGCGCAAGGTGCGCGCATATCAAAGAAGACAGCTAGCACGTACGCCATGTGCGCTCGCGTTATCTCTTGCACATCACGCCACGTACGAACAATTTGTATAATTTCAGGACTGCGCCGTGCCTGTTCAAAATGGATACTGGAAGTCTCAGTTTTCCGTTTTAAAAAATGTAATCTTGTGTTGTATTGGGGCGACAGTGGGACGAAAGTTTTTGCTCTGTAACACGACATAGAAATCTCGTGTTTGAAAGGATTAAATCTGCAATAAATTAAAGAAAACTTTTAAATTATAAGCACTGTGTCGCGCATTAACCCCTTAAGGAAGGGGTGTAATGGGGACATTCCTCCACACATAGAGCAAGTGGCCCGCATGACTGCACAGCCTTTGTGTGGTAGCGGGACTGCACAAAAGCAGCTGCTGTGGAACTACCCACTAGCCGTGTGCCACGACGTGCCACGACGTGCCACGGCATGCCACGGCATACCACAGCTGGCAACTGCATTCCAATAAGGATTAGCGGCTGCGGCCATGACCGCTTCCCGTATGCATGGGGTTAAACACATTGCCTGCAGTCCTTATTTTTAAAGGTCACTACTTATTTACATACATTTACACACATTTGCATTGAGTTCGGCTCATGACTAGAGCGATGTCTGAAACAAAGTCGCTCCTGAGTCGTTCTGAACGACTCCGACCATCCATCTTTTGCCATCTGGCGCGTCTTGTCGCTCCTATTTGTTTCAGACGTCGAACGTTTCATGTTCTTAATTTAAATCGTGCCTTTAATTTGGATCGGCGCGACTCTAGCACGCCTGTCTGAACTGAGGGTAACATGTTCCAGAACACTACTTTTGTTGGCTTCATCATGGCATATCACTCCGAAATTAACAAAATCAAGGCTAAAAGCTCCTATCATCATTCCCTTGGTTTGATGATTTTTGTCATTGTTTCATTTATATCACATTACAACAAAAGTTTAATGATAATCACACCCAAACACAGTGATCTTGTACACCTACCATCGGGTTGCCCTTCAACAATCGGCTCCCGAGTCGGTTCTTGCAGTAGCTGTGATTGCCTCTTTTGGTTTTCAACATCTAAATTAGAAAAAAAAAATACAATGAAGATTTGATGGCAATCTTTTTAAAATACCATATCTCATCCACACTTGTTAGTTGATGGAGGTAAACAATTGAAAACAATTTAAGAAAATATCAGTCTGATCAGGATGTCAAGCGGCATACATAATTACCCTCAAATGGAACCAATGCGTCTGCCGGTATTGTGCAAGCTTTGTCGCTAAGGCTGCATTCACCCATATCCTCAGGGCACTTCGGGCTGCAATGAGCTGGAGAAATCAGACAGGAAGCTCTTAGATTCATGGAACAGGCATTCAAGGACAAAAACATGTATAAAGTACACTCACGGCCATGACAGTGTTAGCTGCTTAAACTGGACTTCAGAAGTTATAATGAAACCACAATGTCAGTGATTAGTTGGCAGATCTGAGGACAGAATGAGGAAACACGCCTCATTAGATGTCTTAGGGCCTTATTCACGAGTCTGCCATATTGAATTGAAAGTTAGGTAAAATCTTAATTTTTGGAACTTGCGAAGAGAAATGAAAGCAAGGTATGTCTCTAACAGTCCTGAATCCCAGTCCAATTTTAATACGATTTTACATGCCCCCTAGTTAAATGCCCCCTGGTTAAATTTCAGTCTGCTTCAATAAATAATTTAACATATTTGTAGACATTCCCTAATGTTTAAAGCCATATTTGAAAAAAAAAATGATGGCAAAATATGGCTGCATTGTGCCTGCATAAAAAAGTCATCCCATTCAACAGTTAAAGAGAATATACATCATTTGCTTTTGCTGTAATTTTCAGAAATGGATGGAATTGGGGGGTTAGAAATATATAGCAAATATAGTTACACTGACTTTTTGGAGGTTTTGGGTTCGAAAATGCTATAAAAACCAAGAAAAACGATCATTTTCCTGTAGTCTGGTTCCCTGACTCTATATAAGAAGAAACAGAGCAGTTTACATACATTGGGGAATTGTAAGGTCAGGGAACCAGTCTAGCTGGCTCGTACCCGTTCATAGGTTTGTAATCGATTGCAAACAAGTGCAATGGTCAATTGGGTCCAGTATTTGAAAAAAAAGGCAGTTGTTTCCAACGCTGATCGGCCGATCAGCGTTGGAAATTGATACAAAAATACCACTTTTCTTGAAAATGACAGTATACCAGGTGCCATAATTTTACAGGATGCTTTAGACTGTCATTTACCAACATCCTATTAACTTATTTCGCAAAAACTTGGTACTTTTATTTTTCGATGTTTGCAAATGTTGTATATTCCCTTTAACAATTTATGAAATACATTCAGGGAACTCAACAAAAATGGCCAACTCGTGAAAAAGGCCCATACTATCATAAGGTGAATATGTACTGAGATTAAGTCACAAAAGTAATGATCCATACACACATTGTGCATGCTCGCAAAGCAGTGATGCTTGCAATCTTTGCAAGCATCTTTGATTGAAACAAATTGGGATGGGGATGTATTATACACGAACATTGATGTGATGCCATGATGACGTCATCACGTGTCACAAGACGTCACATTAAAGGAAACATGCAGTAGAAATTCAGCTCATCTTGTTTTCATGCACATTACTATGTGTTGCAACAATACAAGATCTTAATACTTAGTGCTTATAAAAAAGATAATCAACTAAAAATTAAAATGAATTGATAATTCAAAACTATCTAAAAATGCTACACCACCATAACTTACGTTTTCCACAGTAATAGGGTCTAGCTTCATCATCACAGCAAACTTTTCTGCAAATGGAAATGAAAAAAACTCCATGTTTAGGCCAAGCACTAGATATCAATAATCAAGGAAAGAACATGAAGAATGTTGCATCCTGATGCCACTTTTTTTCATCATATAGGCCTATCATCTCAATGAACTCAGTCAGTCGGTCTGAATCTGAATCTGAATGGTACAGTTGGCAATGCATCCATCAGGAAACATCACACCAACTTGTTAGTTAGTTTGGGGGTGGAGCTGGATGTAATTTCAACAACCTACCATATTTGGAACCACTAAACAATTTGAGGGGTGTCTTCCCAGATTCAATGACACTAGATAGTTAGGAAACTGTTCCAATCTTCGATTGTCCTGGGGAAGAAACTGTTGTTGAAGGTTCTTGTTCTGGCATACCCTGTACAGTTGATTTAGTTTGTGTTTATGCCCCCGCGATGATCAAGTATTTGAAGTACGGTAACAAAGGCCTCTGCTGGTACATCAACTGTGTTGTTCACTATCTTGTTCAGCATTAGTTATAATCTGCTAAGTTTGCTTTGTTGTTCAAGGGTAAGCCATTCATGGTTTTGGAGAAGTGATGTAACTGCGATTTATACACAGACTCAAATTAAAGGAACCTTCACACTTTTCTTCTGTGTTTGTAGCTTGTGCCACAGCCAAAATTTTATTGCCGGACACCGATTGTAATGGCAATCCGGTTTTAATCAAAGGCATAAAAAATAATCGCAATTAGCAGACACGCAATCAGTGCTCAGTGCACTCTTTGAATGGCTGTGACAGAGTGGCAAAAAAATGTGCGGTTCCCGCAAAAAAACAAGTCCCCACGCCAAAGCAGCACATTCCATTGGCTGAAGTTTTATTAAACCCCCATTTAGAATCCAGGTGATTTATCATTTTACAAAACGTAATCCGCCCTTGAAGGAAAAACGCCATTGCGCGACCTCGCCTCAAGGAATTACAGACCGCTCCGTCCAGACCACTCGCCCATCCGTCTGCTAAAAGTCGTAAAGGCGGCCGTGTTGAAAGATTTGTATAAACAATCATAATGCCGAACGTAGAATAATTTTTCAATCAATAAAGACACTGCCGCAAACTGGGACATTATAATTCACCGAGTATAATATCTTTTACCCTACATGTTATTACGGTTAAAAGGTAGTTGTAGATGAATCTAATTGCCTGTCTTTAGGAAGATAAGTTGAAGTTTAGTTTTGTCTTCAGGGATGCAATGGATTTCCTAAGCACATCTAACTGGAGACCTTGGTGATCGTTTGGTGATCTATAAACAATAAGTTCCTATGGTTTTAATTTAATTTGTTGTGTGTTCGCTTAATTTCAGTCCAGATGATTTCGCAGTCACCCTCGGCATTGTCAAATTCATTGGAGGCCAAGTCTTGGTGAATAGCCTGAAAGACGCCCCCACCTGTTGTATTCACAACCCAGTCTCTGTGATAAACTTTGTACCGGTAGTTTGATGGGAAGATTTCGCTACTATTTATTGATGGGTTTAACCACGATTCGGTACCACAGCTTATGTCAGATTTATATGTACTTATGAGAGCTGCTAGATCAGCTGTTGTCCCTCTAATGCTCTGACAGTTGATTAACAGGCTTTCAAATTGTCTTTCTTTATGTGTTCACATGGGATTCAGGCATGTAGTTGAGATCCCTGGGAGAAAACTACTGAAGTCTCGTTGACAAAAGAGTTCAGCTAATTGTTGAGGAAGAATCGAGAACCTTGCTAATTCACAGTTAATGCAAATCGAGCTGGAGTCTGAAGCTTGCAAGATTACATAGGTTTTGCCCTTCACCGACGTATTAACACCGTATAGTGTGTTATATACCTCCGCAGTGAAAGTCAGAAAAAAATCCCTCGGGTAGGAAGCAACCCACAACCTCCTGCTTTCTAGATTGGTAGAGTGAGACATTCCAACACAATGTGCATGAATCCAGCAATCACAGTTGTCACATTGTACAGCTCAGACATCAATATTCTGGACAGATTCTGGCAAACACCAAACATGTACAACGGTACAAGCTAGCTGAGTGACACACATCCGATTAAAGGCGAGTTGGACCCGGGTTGATTTCAATATCCCCGTTAACAACAATAGCCAGAAAACAATGGATTTGGTTTCTTTTTTTGCCTTGGCTACACGTGGCTTTGAGGCTGGTAAGGGGATGGAGTGCCAAGTATAACTGTTCCTTTTCACAAATTTGATTGTAAACACATGATGCAGTTCATTAGCGTTGGGAGCTGTATGAGGGATATTAAACCTATACTTCAAAGGCAACTGACTCAAGAGCATCATTGGCCGAATGAAGAGTTACAAATCCAAGATGGCGATTCCAAGACAAGTGGAATAGGCAATGGGGTACATACAACCATGACTCACCAACGATTTGTTGAACACAAAACATCAAAATTACGACAACAAACTCCACCAAAGATGACACAACATTTACCAAGTCACAAAGCACCAGTAAGCGTATCCAGCTTTGGAAGTCGGGCAGGGGGGGGGCAACCGCATACCCACTCCGAAATGTAGACATGTTTTTTCTCCGGACACTTGGCCTCCATAAAATCAAATAGCAGGGCCCCCTCCTCTCTGGATATGCCAATGGAAAGCACAGTAGTCACACATCAAAATACGACTTTACAGGGTACAGATAAATTTAAGACACAAGGACAAGAGCTGAAACAAAACGTGTCTGTTCCCACGTGCGCCACAAGCATGACAAGGCATGTACTTTGTAGTGCATTACAACAGCAAAAGGAAAGATTCACATATATCTGGCCATCACTATTTTTTTCCTTCAGTTCAGACCTATCAGCCATCAGAAAGTGCATGGTCACTCATAGTCCCACTAACTGGGGCGCTAGAACTCCATTTTGTGGTCTCCGTATTGCTGCGCTGTATGTTAGGCCACACGTCTGGTTTACCAACCTACTGACATGACTGAGGAGTTTAGTCCGAAACTGGCGCATATCAGCATATGGACTCCAGAAAGATATCTAAATTTCTCGAAAAGTTTGAAGGAGGACGAAAGATGAGAAATCATAGAATACAACCATATACATGTACAGCATGTACAGTGGTATGTAAAAACAAAAATCCAAAAAAGGGTGCGCCAGGGTTTGGACTGAACTCCTCAGTAGGTTGGAAAACCAGACGTGTGGCTACAGCGCAGCAAAACGGAGGCCATGGGCGATACGCCAGGCTAACATCCCAAATCATCCTCAAAAAAGGAGTTCTAGCGCCCCAGTTAGTTGGACTAACTCAGTTGCTGCCTTGCTCCGCCCTGTGCTGGATACCCACGGCCACAAGGTGCTGCTGCTAACCTCATCAGCCCTGCCTACCCACATGACCCATGAAGGCGTGAACGTGGCGTTGTAATACACGCAACGTTACTTCAGAGGAAAAAATTGCTATAGAAATCTCCACGCACGCGCAACCGTTAGCACATCCACGCCGTGAAATAGTGCAATTGTTTTTGCTAGTGCTAGCTACAGCTAACAATTAGGCACAACTTTTCGGCGGACCGCCGCCGGGACCGGAATACCTAACCGTACCCGTACACTACATATGATTCTGTGTACGACCGGCCAGAGGCATTCAGGCTACGTATTATATCAGCCCTGTTTTGAGATTCGCGCCGGTCGGTTACCAGACCAATGACACCGTCGATTACTTAGCCTTCCACCAACCAACGTCACCGTGGCTTTTACCGTCATTATTAGACGGAGCGGCAAAGCCGCGAAGTGACTGGAGCGGAGACCACACGTACGACGAGTACGATTGCGGGCAACCTCGTCCCCAGGGTGTCGAGCAGTACGCGCCCACCACTACCTGCTCTCTCACCTAGTCCGAGTAACTTGGACCCAACTTATCGCCTTTTTTAACATTTGGACATGGTCTGGCGATAGTTGGGTCCAAGCATGGAGGTAGGAAATAGCTGGACAACACCGTCCAAAAACCAACATTTTCGAACAAAAAACATCAGATTTCACCTTCAAAACGGCCTCCAAATTACTAGATATGCCACCTGAGGTACAAGTAGATATCGATGATTAAGATGGTTGTACTGAAGTTTAAATGAAACAGAAATCACATCCGGTATGGAATGCGCGCAATTCTTTGGAAAGTTTCGGATAGCATTTGAGCACATTGTCTAAATGCGATCTTGAACAGCTGCAGCCACATGCCTTATACATAGGTCATAGCCATTTCCTTCACAAGATTCTGTGGGGCTCATCAGAGTATCACAGCGTCCTGTTTGCAGGGCGGGGGTACGAGCGAAACCAGGGACTCTGCTTCTGGCCATGTTATGCGCACGCACCTGCTTTGCCTAATGTATGTATCGCGCATTATATACCCTGCATAATTACCCAAAGTATACATATTCATAGTTATAATCCCCTGTTCCGCGCCGCACCGACTGACAGTGAATGGTTGAATGTACACGGTGGCCCACAAGTGTCACGGCAAAAGCAAATTCTTCACGGCAAAAGCAAGTTCCCCACGGCAAAGGCAAATTCGCCGTTGTGAGCCACCGTAAATTTACATGTATGGTTGCAGACCAGTAAATAAACTTCCATAGACTCCAATGGTAAATGCTCCCACTTCAGAAATTCGGAAAAAATACTCACAACTCTCCAAGGCGTTCGAGACACACGTCAAATTAAGGCTTATTTCATTATCTTTCATTTTCTTTTCAATTTTTGGGGGGTCAACTGATGACTTTGATAATTGATAATTATTAATTGTTGTTTATTTCATAAGTTATTCACAAACGGGACAAGGCTCTGTATACTGAGCTTAGGTTTTCTTTTCCTGGTTCCACCATCTGTCACCATGTATGTTTAAATTGATCAAAGTGTTATACATGTATTAGCATTCTATTAAGTTTAATTATTGTTGTAGTAAATAAACTGTTGCATTTGCATTATATTAATTTGTGACAAATGGAAATAAAACAATACAATACAATACTTTTAGGAGAAAGTTCCCTCCGAAGATGATCACCCCTGAAAATAGTCCTGAAACCCATCGCCATTTTGAAAAACGATGCCTACACTCCATTTCAAAATAGAGCGCTTTAAGGGCCCCAATTTCATCCAAATTGAACGGAACTACAAGCTCACAGTCCTGTGCACGGCTTCCACCCATATTTTTTACAAACCCTCAAGTTTATGGCCCACATCATCCTCAAATACTGAAGATTTTGAGGGTATGCAAATCGTGATTTGGCCGGCGTAGGCAATTTCGGACCGATTTACTGGTCTGCAACCTATAGGCATGTACGTACGCACATATTTACTGTGCCCACTGCGCTTGAAAAAAAAATGGCCGAAAAAATGAGTCAGCTTTTGATGAGGCTGTTGAATTCGCTGCAAAAAACGTTCGGTATATCAAAACTGAGATATCAGCAAATAGCCGCTCTTCGAAAGATAGTTGGAGGCCACGATGGTTTCGTCAACCTGCCGATTGGGTTCGGAAAAAGCATCTTCCAAAATCCAAGCAACACCGTACATACCGCGCCGATAATCTATAGATTTCAAAACGGACCGTGATGATGATGCATCGCGAGCGCTGCAGCTCGAAGCACGGCACGGCTTGCAGCCGGCCGGGCCACGCCGTCCGCCGACGGCAGCTTCAATGTCATCAAGGTCATGACTCTGCAAGGTTTGAAAACGGCTGTTAAGACTGATTCATTACTCTTTTATTCCAGTTTCCGTTGAAAAGCGTAATAATGTAGGAATTTCTGTAAAACTTAACTGTGTTGTAAATTTACAATTCCCGTCACTCACTCGGGTTCCGTTTCGAATCACAAACGGTTGGATTGCATTGCAACGCTCAAAATTTTGTCCACATGGTCCGCAATGAAACAGAAATCACATCCGGTATGGAATGTGCGCAATTCTGTGGTGAGTTTTCGGATAGCATATTCGCACATTGTCTAACTGCAGCCAGATGCTTTGTACATAGGTCATAAGCCACTTCCTTCACAAGATTCTGTGAAGCTCCAACCTCGTCTCCAGTGCTTACTTTATTTCCAACCGCGTCCCCAACCTCGTCCCCAGTGCTTACTTTATTTCCAACCGCGTTTCCAATAGTAAACCCTGGATAGGAAACTTTCTTCTTGTATCCTGATTGGATACCGCAATTGGCTAGTAATGGATTTTTATCGTGTACTTGGTGCTATATATTCACAACGTGCAGTACGTGTTTTCGCGATCATTCGTCCACGCCTTCTCGAAAATACAATTTCCTTTGCAATTTGCTCATATTAATATGAAATATGATACTGCATGTTGTCTTGATAAGATCGTAACAGTTTGATTTCACGCCGTGCTCGCGATGCTACGAATTGACTCTGTTTTTACCCCAGACACCGCATACAAAAACAAACGCTAATGTGTAACGCATATCCAGGCACCAGACTGTTCATTTGCATACGTGTGCAAAATCTTGCACATGCAAATGATCCAATGCCAGGGTGAAAGAGCAGGTAGTGGTGGGCGCGTACTGCTCGACACCCTGGGGACGAGGTTGCCCAGCGTCAGGGCCAAGTTCGGGCAAAGACCATTAGTCGACTAGTGGTTGATTTGTGACGTACCTTACGCCTGCGCACTAATAGCAAAGTGCGAACGTCTCTAGTAGAACGCTGGTCAAAATGTCATTGCAAAACGTCTGGATCCTGGCTCCCTGCTGTACGTTATGAACGCGCGTGGCTATGGTTACCAGCGAAGCAACCAACCCCAGTAGGTTGGTTCCAAATAGTCGACTAGCGTAGTTAACCATCGTCGACTAGACAGAGTTCGGGCAAACGTTAGTCGACCAATGGTTAACTATAGTCCTTGCGCGAACTTGCCCCTGTTTGCTGGTACCGGGTCCTTATTGGTTTGTCGTGATAGCGCCCTCTCGCGGCGGCGGGTTATTGCGGCGGCGGGTTATCACGTATCAAACAATAACAGCGTCTACCCCCTAGACTAAGAAACATAACGTTCAAAAGGCCATGTTTGCGGGGGGGGGGGGGGGGTTAGTTCACGAATTTCAATGCTCTGTTACAGCGTCTTAGTACGTAATCGGATTAGCTTTCCTTGACAACGACTGACGCTTTGCCTTCGCAACCATATGGCTGTATGGTTTTTGTAAAACTCAAGCCAAGACAAGTGCATGGTTTTTGGACACCTGGCCGCCTATCAATAAAGCAATCGGCAGAAGAGAGAACAAATTATAACTAGGTAGATTTTCCAAACATAATAGCCTTGAATGCAAGAATGTGTATTGTCACGTGTCGTGCCAGCTCTCCTGCGTCAGGCTGGTTTGGTTGGTAGCGTGCCGTCCCGATGGTGTCGTCCTATGGTACGGTGGTCATGCATGCCTTTAATCATCATCATTCATCATGTCATGCCACTTAATCAAGAACCCTAGCAATTATTCTGATCATTATTGGAGAATCAAGCAATCAAGTCACTAAATCCTAGCCCTGCAACTTCTTTTCTAGACTTTGAGCCCCATGGCTGTGTACAACTTCTCTTTCCCATACAACAGTGCATAAACTCAATTGACCAATCAGAAACAAGGATTCCTTATATGCAAAGTGACTCACAGTGTTCTAGTGTATTTAAAACATACAGTTGGTGACTTAATGCCTATTCCGTCACAGTATGTACTTTACCAACTTGCGGGCATTCGGCTCCACATACACGGAGAAACTCTGATCATACACAAAGCCCACAATGTGCTGTGCACAACTAGTACTGTTATTTAAAGAGGCACTAGGTCCTGAAATCCCCGACATTTTTATGTTTTGGATTGTTTACAACGGTTGTTTACATCGGACACGACGGAGTACGAATACGTTTTTCGTGTCGTTCTCTAGTGTACGATATACACGTTGTGTGTCTCAGGATCAGCGGTGACCAATCACCACGCAAAAGGCGTGGTGATTGCAACGCAACGCAACGTCCGCAAAAGGCGAACAATTTACGCGTACGAATGAAATCTCAACTAGCACCCAAACGGCTCGAATTTATGGGGTCGCAAAAGTGGACCCCGAAATTCGTTCTCGCACACAAATACAGGAATAACACAAAAACGCCCAGTTTTTAAAGGGCAGTTGTGAGGATGTTTCTATCCTAGTTATGCTCTTTCCCGTCATCTCGTTCAAAGCGCGTTTTGTAGCCCAATTGGCTGTTCCAGAACCTAGTGTCCCTTTAAGAAAGGGAGAAGACGGTTGTGGGAGACCAATCGGGGAGACATTCGAACGCACCACCGCCTACGAGTACAACGCTTGACGCTCCTGGAAGCGTGATGGCTTTGTACACGTATCAGGATAAATTACTCGTGCGTACGCGGTGTGCCCCATCCATGATCAAGGGGCTCTTGAAAGTGGTCAAAACACGCCCTCATGGGCGTCGCGAGGGGGGGGGGGCGCACCCCCCCCCCCCCCAAAAAAAGGAGGGGGGAAGAAAAAGAAAAAGAGGGACAAAATCATATTGTTGCTAATTTAATAGGTTGGGGGAGGGGGAATATCCATGCCCACCCTCCAAAAAGGATCAATCGGGAATTAAAATGCTGGATGGAAAATAGGGATTTTGGGAAAAAGGGTACTTT